CGTAAGTAGGCAGCAGGGCCCGGAACCAATCCCGTCGGATGCGGTGTCGCGGAAACGCGAGGCGACCACGGAGCCGAGGAGTGCATCCCTGGCTAGGGCGTCTGGGAGTAAATTGTGAAGAAGTATCGAGCGGGATCCGTTGTCTTCGCAATTGGGCCTTCACCAACTCGGCAGAATTGAGAGGGAGTCTCGAGTGAGAGCGCACTTCTTGAGTTTGGGAGCCAGGGCGCGTGGGAGTAAGTTGTGGTGAAATATCAAGCGGGAGACGTTGTCGTCGTAGTTGGCTCTTCGCCTACTTGCCTGATTTGCTAGAAATCCCAGGCGAGAGCGCAATTCCTGAATTTGGGTGCCTGTCTGGCCATGGCATATCGAAGTGAACTGCGAGGAAAAATCGACTGGGAGCAGTTGCCGTCGTAGGAGCTCTCACCAACTTGAATGAAGTGCGAGAAAGTCTCGGGCGAGAGCGGCGTTCCTGACTTGGGGGGGCCTCTCTTGCCAGGGCATCTTGGAGTAACTTAATCAATCTAGAGCGGGAGCCGTTGAGTTCGCAGTTGGGCCTTCACCAACTCGGCCGAATGGCGAAGAAGTCTCAAGCGAGAGCGCGTTCCTGAGTTTTGGGGGGCCCTCTGGCCAAAGCGTATCGAAGTAAATTGTGCAGAAAAGTATTGATCGGGAGCCGCTGTCGTCGCAGCTGGGCCTCCACCAGCTTGCCTGACATGCGAGACATCCTCGGGCGAAAGCGCCGTTCCTCAGGTTGGGGACCTCTCTGGCCAAGGGGTCTCGGAGCAATACGTGAGGAACTATCGAGCGGGAACCGGTGTCGTCGCAGTTGTGCTTTCAACAACCGCGATCGGGATCCGAGCCCGCGCTCGAGCGGGAACCTCGGTGTCAAAGAGAACAAAGGCAGCGTCCATGCGAGACCGCCCGGAACCGCTTCCATGGATCACAAGCAACTTTACTCTCGTAGCAAGCACCCCACGGCGACGACGATATCGACGACGTCGGCGGCGGCGGCAGCGGCAGCGGAGGCGGCAGCTATAGAAGAGGCCCGACCACAAGAAACCTTCCACAAGAAACCCAACCCTAAGACCCCAGGACGTCCATTGATCCTTGGGGTGGGAACGTCACGCTCTCCCAAAAACCAAAGAAACCCAGGGCACCCTGGAGGCAAGCAGGGTGTTTCCTGGCCTGGGCCCCCACTGCATGACGGGAGCGGGAGCTCAAGCCGTGGCTGGGGCGGCGGAGGACACGCCACCGCCAGGCTGCAGCACCGTGGCGGCGGGGCCGAGTCTGAGCACCTGGCCCGCCGCCCGCCGCGGGCCGCCGCCGCCAGGCTCCGCCGCCGCACCGCCGCGGCCGTCGCCACCTACCTCGGTGATCGCTCTCGCCGTCGCCGCCTGCCGCCTGCGCGGGCGTCGGTGACGTGGGCATCGCCGCCGTCTTGGTCGTCGCCGCTACCCGTCGCCGGGGTCGCCGTCCCCGCCGCCGCCGCCGGTGTCGCCGTCACCGCAATCGGGCGGACCCCTCGTCGTGGCGATCGGGCGGCCACCTCGGGGACTGGCGGAGCGCAGTCGCCGCATTGTTCCTTCCTCCTTCCCCGGCCTCTGGCGTTCACCCTCCTTCCTCTCCATTTTCCCTCCTCCCCCCTCCTCCTTTATCCCTCCTGATCCTTCCTCCACCTCCTCCCCCTCCTACATCATTTGTTTTTTTTCTTCTGCCTCCGGCCTCATTCTTCCTTAACCCTATTGTTCAGTCCTCTTCATACTCGTCGGTCCTCCTGCTTCTCATGTTTCCTCCTCCTCCTCATACTCCTCCCCATGTTCCTCCTCATCCGCCTCATCCAAACACAAGATGGCACAGGCACACGGCCGACCACTGCCGGTTTGGCTCTATACTGAACGCTGGTTTGCAAAAGTTACGTTTGGTCTCGTCTTGCGATCGGATGGGTGTCGGTGTGGTTGTTTTCATGTCTCCACGTTTTCGGGTCGTGGGCTACAACCCCATGTTTGCTGCTGGAGATACACTTGCGGGAATAGTTGGCGAAACTCGCAGTTTCAACTTCGTGCTTCTTGCTGGGACAAGGAGAGGGACACCATTGCGTGGCGCCCAGGCGCCGCGGGGGCGGCGCGGCGGTAGGCTGGCTCTCGAGGCACCACAATAGGCAACAGCCCCTCTCTTCTGCCCCCCATTGCGGTATCATGATAGCGCTGGGCCCCCACCAGACCGAGAATGGCATCAAACACATATGGGGAAATCCTGAACTGGTGGCGGGTCGAGCCTTCGCTGCTCGTGTTACGTATGGCCCTGCTGACTTCTGTGATATCTGCATTTATGTGCCACCGACCGCTAATGAAAGAAGCAGGGCCGCTCGGACTAGCTACCTCAAAAGGGTGTTTATCATGGTGGTGCGGTTGGATTCTTTTCTGCGTGAATTACCCACCCGCTGCGACCCGACCTTCTACTCCGATTTGAATGACGGTATGGGGGGGCGTTAAACTAATGGGGCCTATGAGACAATCCCGACGAGCATGGTCAACGTCGCTACTCTCGAACGTATCCCTGGAAGGGCGAGAGCACGCCCACGAGAAACACTCGAGAAACATCACATGCTTTTGGGTCGCGTCCAGCAGCGGGCACTTTCTTCGGTCATGAGTTTTAAAGGTGCACGTATGTTAACATCAAGGAGTTGGTACAGTTCGCTCGTCAACGCACTTCATCACGACGCGCGGGAGCCAAACTTCGGCCGATTCTGGGACCCCCACCACGGAATCACCCACCTACCGCGTTGAGCATGCAGCTCAATAGCGGCAGCTTGACCCGCCCGGCTGAAGATAGGATCCGGTGGAAGCACGATGCTATGATGGCGTGGCTTCGGTCAGGCAGGGCAAAATGGGAGTTCATTCAGTCGGTCAATGCTGAAATTCGGGGGGGCGGGGCCCATTATCTACGTGATAATGCGTCTCCAGACGAAGTCTTCGAGACAACGAAAGCCGCGGTGCTTCGGGCGCGGCGGTCGCACTCACTTCCCAGGAACTCAGGGACGTAGAGCCTGATCTGGGGAAGATGCCGAACGCCGCCGAAAGTCGTTTCGTCGGCGAGTCGAGCCTGGAGGTCAAGAGCAAGAGGACGAGGAGGGGCTGATTTGATCAACGCTCAAACGAAGACTCTCGCCCCAGCTCCAAAGGGAACGACGGCGACACTTGCGAGCGCATCGTTGCTGCTCGTAGTTGTGCATATCGATGATGACCATTTGGAAGCACCCTCCACGCTGCTCGGCGTTCTGCGCGCCCATTTTGACGCATGTCGCGTTCCATGTTGGCGAGCCTCTGCCGGCAGTCCTCGCTGGCCACGTGGGCGGTGGCCCCCATGCGCGCGTTCTACTCCAGTAGCCATTCCTTCGCCTGTCAGTTTCTCCCCTCTGCATCGCCCCATTCCTGGCACAGGGTTCGGTTGTCGCCATGGTCCGGGATTCTGGCTTCGGTCGCCTTGGCCTCGACGCTGGCGACGCGGCCCTCGGCTTCGAGGGCCATGTTGTAGTGCTCGTGTTTTCTGTCGTGCGATCCTCTCTGCGCCCGAAGATTCCTCTCCGCGCCGTCCCGCATGTGCTTGCTGTCGGCGAGCTCCCTCTGCATGTCTTGGAGTTCTCGATGTAGTTCGCCGTCGTCGATTGCGCGCGGCTGGAGCCTCATGTGTTCTCGACCCCATAGCTCCCAGCCTCTCCCCCGCCCTGGAGAGCTTCTCCGCGTTGACGGTACGCATGCATTCGCGATGTGCCGCGATGTGTCTGTCGCCTGCTTGGAACTTCGCGCCTCCTTCTTGAGCTCATCGTGATACTTCTTGGCTTTAGTCGCATCACTGCCTTGATTCCGCTCATGTCTCCGCGCAGCTTCTTCCGCCGCTCGGACGCGTCGCGCGGGGTCGTCGACCTCGCCACTGGCGTCAGCGCTGGATTTTTCAATGTCGTTGACCATGCGCTGCTGTCTTCCTTCTAGATCCGGGGAACGGTGCCGAAGTCCAGCCCTTCCGTCGATTATGTTGCCCTCGTGTGCCTCCTTGGGGCTAGGGCTGGCGTCAGCGATCTTCTTTGCGGCACGTTCCTGCGCGGTTGGTCTGCGTCGTCATCTGCAGCTTCTGCGCCCCTGTGACAATCGTCTCCAGCGTTGCCGATGTCTCACATGAGGACGGTTACGTCGCTCCTCGGTGTTGTTTTCAATCTCGTTCACGTAGATCGTTCTTTGTTGCTGGTTGATCTTGAAGTTCTCGCAGTAGCCTCCCATGGTTCTCTCGGCACTGTGAATCTCCCTCGCCTGATGGGCCAGGGTCATACTGTTGAGGACGGTCGCTGCGATGCAGGCGATCTGCGTGACTGCGTCGGTGGTAGGTAATCCTGCTGCGCTGTTCTTGACAATGGCAGCTGCTGCTTTCCGCCATTCCACACGTTTGGGATGCTTCGGGTCGTCCCTCAACTCGCGGTCGTTTGGGGGTAGCTCCCAGTCGTGCCTCCTGACGGCACAGATTTTTCTTCATGGGTATGACGTTGCTGAACGCGTTGGCGAAGTGGTCGTTGAAGTTGCTGTTGTCGTCCTGGCCGTCGTCCTTTTCCTTGGGCGTAATTTCCTTGTCGAACTGAAGAGTGCCCTTTTCCCTCGTTGTTCTTGTCCTTGCCCTTCAAGTTGTAGGTGGCGGTGTTTTGGTGGTCGTTCCTCCCCTTGCCGGCCTGGTGGTTGCATGTCCCGATGCGGTTATGTTTCCACGTTTTGTCCAGTTGTGGTTCATCCAACGCTCGAGTCCTACACCGATGGCTGATGTAGTGGGCCTCGGTGTTGTAGCTCTGGATCGTGGGCGGTTCGGTGCTGATCTCCACGGTGGTGGAGCAGTTCCTGATCCGCTCTCAGTCGCACTCCATGACGTCGCCATGGTTGGAGGAGGAGGTGGATGTCGAGGTGGTTACTGGGCGGTGTGGTGCGCTTTAAATAGATGTCGTGCTTTGCGAAGCCGACGTAGAACACGGGCGTCCGCACGATGTTAGCGTAGCCGCCTGTGCCAGGCGAAGGCTGGGGGACCTCTGGCCCGGTGAGGTCGTAGCCTTGGATGCGGTAGCTGACGTGGCCCCGAGCAGGGGACGAGAACAGCATAACTTGTTGTGGATGCTGCGGTGGATATCGCTGGCCTGATGGGCCCGTGAAGGCCGCGATGGCCGCCGCCTCGGACCCCTTGCGAGGCAAATGGGGGCGGGATCGGGCGATCGCGACTCCCTCTTCCTACCCTCCCCCCTCCTCCTCCACCTCCTCTTTGTGATCCTGCACCCCTCGTTGTCACTCTGAGACCCTCCCCATCCCCAAACTCCGCCTGCCGAGCGCATGATCCAGAGACAAAGCAATCACATGGCTGCAGGGCAGACAGCTCGAGCACCGAAGCCCGCGCCCCGCCAGGCATCCCGATGGACTTACCGACCTCCGACATGCCCCAGCATTCCAGCCTCCGCCTTGTGGCGGTCATCGCCCCCCGCCCTCCCCCCCCCAGGCGCAGCCTCGACCGATGATACCTGGTCTGGCAGCATCATCGCGACGTCATTCCCGCCGCAGATGTTGATCTGAGGCAGGGCCTCGTGCGGGGACGCACTCTGCAGCGCGCGACCGCCGTCCCTTTGCAGCGAACGGTGCCAGTTGATTCGATATAGGAGCAGCGGGAGAGGGCCACGAGATCTTAACTAGGAGGCCAGTTGGTTTGGCGGGAACGCCTTGGATGAGAGAAAGAGGGCCATGAGATCTGGAACAGATCAAGGCCGCGGCCATGACATGCACACACACACACAAACAAACAAACAAACAAACAAACAAACAAACAAACAACGCAAAAAAAAACCTTTGAATTCGTTTGGAGTCTCGACCACGCGCATGGCGGCGTGGCGCAGGGAAGGTCAAGCGGACGAGCGCCGACCGAGCCAGTTCACGCAGCGTAAGGAAGCTGGATCCGCCCATAGGCGTTCGACAGCAACACTCGCGATAGGGGCATTCGCAAGGGGAGTGGGGAGAGGGAATAGAGGAGGAAAGAAGGGGAAACGGACGGACAGGGAGGAAGCAATGCGACATCCACACACGCACACACACACACACGCAGTCCTCACTTCCACACTGGGCGTCCCCGACAGAGCAGAGCAGGTGGCGGCATCCGAACCCTACCCCAACCGACCACCGGCTCTCGAGAATCGATGGGGAGCGGGGGCAGGGGGCGGACTCCTTCACGTGCTCGCCGGACACCGATCCCCTGCCGCCGCCCACAGGGTTGCCGAGCCGTTGCCGGGGCTCGGACTCAACAGACCCCCGACGCAGCGCTTCTGCTCCACAACGTCGATCACCAGAGGCTCGGGGGCAGTCAAGAGGGGGCGTGCAAGAGGGGGGGCGCAAATCATGGCCGGCGGCATGTGCGCGGCCCAGGGGGGGGGGGCGGGGACGTAACGAAATAAGAAGAGGCGCCATGAAACCTGCGGAGATATCATGGCCCCCGCCATGATATTCACCCCCGCCATAGTATCCCCCCCTCTTTTGGCCTCCCCCGAAGCGTCGAACCCCCAAGGTCTGGACCCCTTCCCCAGGACGCGTTTTCTTATCCCGAGCCACTTTCTGACGGTCCGGGCACAGCGATGGCCCCCGTAGGCCGAAAAAATAAGGAAAAAAGCCTCCCGGCCTCCGCGGCGCTGACGAGGACAGAGGGGAGACCGGGGCGTGGCCTCTTCGGAGGAGGAGGGAGGAGGAGCAGAGAGGAGGGGGGAGGAAGGCGAAGGAGTAGAAGGAGGGAGGAGAGGGAGGATGAGTGATCATGAGGAGTAGATCTTGATAGGAGGAGGAGGGAGGGAGCTGATTTTTCACAACGTGGGGAGGTCAGACTCCACCGCCGAGGGAGAGCAGGAGGGACGGGCACACCACCGAGCCTCCACGCGCCTCGGGCCAGGAAGCCGCGGACGGCGACGTCGACGACGACGACGACGACGACGACGACGTCCACGACGACGACGACGACGACGACGTCGACGTCGACGACGACGACGACGACGAGCCCCTACGCAAGCGGCCATGCGCCTCGGGCCAGAAGGCCGCGGACCGGGCGCGGCCTCCCTCTCATGCCTTGCATTAGATCGGGCATGTCCGCCTACGGGCGGATTTTAGGGGAAACATCAAACATAGTCAAAAATACCAGAAAAATCCAAACAGATAATCGAAAAATCGTCCCCTGACTATTTTTCGACTATTTTGAAATACTCCGCCTGTAGAGGGACGTGCCCGACTTAAGCCTTGCAAAACCCTCCAGGATCCTGCAAGATCCTGCACCCAAGCCCAGGTCAGTGCGCCCCTAGCTCTGCTTGGCGGCGCGCACAAGGGGTCAGGGGGAGGGGGGAAGGCTTCTTAGAAGGAGGCTGCCTCTAAGAAGGCACGGGCTTTCTACATCTACAAACAAGGCCCGCCGCTTCTAAGAAGCAAGGGTGCTTCCAAGACGCCTTCCCCCCCTCCCCCTGACCCCCGTCTGCGCGCGGCCAATCTGAAGGATCCTGCAAGATCTGGCGCTATTCAGGCAATATTCAGGCATGGGTGTATGCAAGTATCGAATGGCTCAAAACTCCATGCTTTGTAGCAACTCCCACGCACAAGCATGGAGACGATTGCCTCGTTAGGGAACACAGGTTGAAACTATTGTTGGAAGAGCTCTGAGAAAACCATGCCAAAGAGGTGGTTTGGGTGAACGACGCTCGCATCAGAGAGGTTTTCGCATCCGCCACGAAGCATGCCTCAGAAGGATTTGAAGACCCAAACCTTGCGAAAACAATTGGGAAACAGGTAGTGGCCGTCAAGGGCAACCACCAGCAAGTTGTTATTCACAGAAAAAACACAAGAACCAGGAGATGTTGGTTTACGTGTAATTGACAGCTGTCGGCTGGGACCGCGAAAACGCCCTGCATCAGGAGTTCCAACGGAAGCGGGAGGTGGCCAAAGGCGAGGGGCGCGGGGACGGCCCAGCACGCAGCTCCAGGTACACTGACAACTGGACCGGGAAGCGCCCCAGGCGCTGACTTGCCCCGAACGCTCCCACTGATGCCGCCGCCCAGGGTGCCCGCACCAACCGCCCCTCCCGTCCCTGGCAAAGCCTCTTGGCGCTCTTCTTCGGGCACGACCTGCTTGACGCCTTCTACAGCGCCCGGCCCTGTCTCCCCCTCCCCACCTCCTCCTACACACCTGATTATGGGACGGTTAGTCCCTCTCGATCCCGCAGTATACTTGCGACATCGACTGGGACCGCGAAAACGCCCTGTATCAGGACATCCGGCGGAACCAGAATGCGGCCAAAGACGATGGGCGCGGGGGATGACCCTCACAAGCTCCGGGTCCGGACAACCGGAAAGGAATACAGCGCCCAAGCGCTGACGTATCTCGAATGTTTCTAACTGTTTTCTTGGCCTCGGGCGCCATGTCCGAACCGCCCCTCCTGTCCCTGGCAAGCCTCACGGCGCCCTTTTTCGGGTACGACCTGTTCGGCGTCTTCTGCGACGACTGGCCCTGTCTCCCCCCCCTCCCTTACCTGAGAATGGGACGGCTAGTCCCCCCTGATTCCGCAGGTTCAACCTGCCTCCGGCAGCTGGCGGGGACGCCCGGCTGCCGACGCGGGGCTGCCCCGGCGCTGGCTGGCCCGCCTGGCCGGCCTCTCTCCTCCCTGCCCGCTTCCCCCTTTCCCCGCTCGCTACCCCCCCTCCCGCATGGCGGCCGCGCCCGGCACAGCGCGGCTTCGGCCCGGTGCCCGGCGCTCGCACGCGATGGCCCCGTTTCACCTTGCCGCCTCGGCGGCCCCGCGGTCCTGGGCGCAGCGCGGCCCCGGCCCACAACGGCAGCGCCCCGCCGAAGGCGGCTTCGGCCCGGTCCCACGCGCTCGCCACTGCAGGGCAGGACTCGTTCCACCTCCTGCAGCACACCGACACCCTGTCGGTCGTATAGGCGGCATGATCCTGGCGTGTCCTGGCTGCCGCGCCTCAGACTGCGGCTCCCATACCCTGGACCCGGGGCACGCTCAACAACCACGGTGTGGGCCAACCGTTCCTGCGTCCTGTTCGGTGGTACAACGTTGCACTTCGGCTCAAAGATGCTCTCCACCCTCCCTGGTCGACGCCGCTTGGGTACAAGGCGCGTCCTCTCCCGCCGCCACTTGAGGCTGGTGTACATGATGAGCCGTTGACAGCACCACCAACCACAGCATTTTGCTGATTCCAGTACTTCGCCACCGAGTTCCTGTCCAAGGCGTTCGTTTGCAAGCACATCGTCTTCGGCACCGCCTGATCCCGAGGCTGTGCCTCCTCCTGGCCTTGACATGAGGCCTCTCCTTCTGTCCCCTCCTCTTTGTTAGTTCGAGCTTCGCGCGGCCCGCTTAGCTTCGACCGGAAGAGGTGCGCTCTCGACCCGCGAATCAAAAAGGTCTACAATGCTCATCTCCGAAAACACATACGCTCTGCATTTTCGTACGTATACGACTCAACAGACAGTTTGTTGGAAGATTTGAAGAAAGTTCGAACGGATGGGACATGTATTTTGGCCACGTGTGAAATAAAAGAGTCTTACCTTAATGGTGAGCAAGACGACATGTGCAAGCGCGTGGCGGCGACCATGTGGAACACAACAGACAGGGTGCACTACCTCGTCCTCGTCGGGCTACTTATGAACCAGTTCGTTGAGTCGCCTGTCCTGGCGAACCGTGCGTGGCAAGTCGTGCGGGGAGCGGGCATGGGCTTCCCATGCGCAGGGGATCTAGCAGATTTAACATTTGCCGAACTAGTCGAGATGTTTCTCAGGAGTAGGTTCGATGATTTTGTTTATGGTAGATTTAGACATGAAATGTTCTGTATATGTAGATCTACGTAAGATTGGGTACGTATTCTGAGCTTCATGCGTAGATGTTTGGCTGGAGTGTACAAGCTTGACATGGCACAGATGGGAAATGAATATGCTGATTTCCTAGACGTCCAGGTGATGCAAAATCGCTCAGGATTTGTATCCTGGGAGCCGTTTTCAAAGCCAAGGGAGGTAAAGGTCCCTCTGTCCCGACGTCTGCCCGTGCCCCCAACATACACGAGTCCTGGCCGAGAGCAGAAATCTATCGGATCAGGCGGCGATCGTCCTCGGCTGCGGCCTTCGGCATTGCCCAAAGGGCAAAACTGAATGAGTTGCAGGAGCAC